TTCATACAAAATTTGAATAAAATTTCTTGATGGAATTGAACTATTTTTAAAAATTTTAACAAAATTTGTTAATAAAATTTATTTGTTTTTAAGAATTGTGATATAAACTAATTAAAAAATTTAATTATTTTAAAAACAATTTTAATTAAATTTCTCGTACGGATTTAAATTTTTTTCCCAATAATTGAATTTGTATTTAAAAATTTGGATTTTATTATTTTCATAAATATCAAATTTTTGTAAAGAAATTCAATTATTTAATTTAATTGAATTTAATTTCACTTATTTTTAATACAATTTTAAATGAATTCTTCGAAAATAACAATTTTCGATAAAGTTGTTTATATAAAAATTCAATTTTAAGAAATATTCAATTATTTTATTCAATTTTATTTTCATTTTAAATTTAATTTTAAATATTTGAATTCTCGTAGAATTTTCTATTATGAAAATTGAGTAGAAAAATTGAATTTTAGTTAAAATTTTAGATTTTAACCAAAATATAATTTTTAGTATTTGAAGTAAATACCATTTAATAAACTCCAATAAATATTATTTGATTCAAATAAATATTTAATTGATAATAGTCAATTAATTGGATATTTAAATAAAAAAAAATTTATTTTTTCGAGTACAAAATTTAAAAAATTTCGGAATAATTAGCTTCAAGTTGACCTAAGAGTATCAACTCTTGAGTAGCAGGTAAAAATTTAGGTCAAATTTGACCAAAAAGTTGATACTTTTAGGTCAAATTTGAAAAGAAAATTCTTGAACAGCAGGTAAAAATTTAGGTCAAATTTGAACAAAACTTCACGTTACGTAAAGACTATTGACCTTGAGGTAAAAAATAGGTCAAAATTGACCTAAAAGTATCAACTTTTATAGTCGTCAACCTTTAAGTTGGTACTTTTAGGTCAAATTTGAACAAAACTTCATGTAACGTAAATACTATTGACCTTGAGGTAAAAAATAGGTCAAGATTGACCTAAAAGTATCAACTTTTATAGTCGTCAACCTATAAGTTGATACTTTTAGGTCAAATCTGAACAAAACATCACGTAACGTAAAGACTATTGACCTTGAGGTAAAAAATAGGTCAAGATTGACCTAAAAGTATCAACTTTTATAGTCTTTAACCTTTAAGTTGGTACTTTTAGGTCAAATTTGAACAAAACTTCATGTAACGTAAAAACTATTGACTTTGAGGTAATAAATAGGTCAAGATTGACCTAAAATTATCAACTCTTGAGCGTTTTTAGAAAAATTTAGGTCAAATTTGACCTAAATTTTTACTATTGACCTTCAGATCAATAAAATAGTCAAAATTGACCTCAATTTTGACGTACCTCAAAGGCCTTTGACCTAGATGTAAAAAATAGGTCAAAGTTGATCTAACGGCCCCCAAGGGGCTGTTAGAAATCACCAATCATCGGAGAAATGTTTTTATATAATAGAAAGTGATGTATATATTGTGATTATTACAATATAATAATAATAGTTAAAATGATAATAATAAAATAATAATAATAATAATAATAATAATAATATAAAAAAATTAAAAATATGAAAAAACTGAAGTGAAAGCAGTACTTTACGTGCGAATTTAACAAATTTGTGACTATATACACAAGTCGCCCCTTGAAGCTCTTATCCGTGCGCATAATAGATTGCACCTTCCCAGGGTTGGGTGATTAATATTAGTAATTAATAATATAAGGTGACCGAGAGAAAGCATAGGACGGTGTGTATAAGTAGTCGGTGGAGGGGGGGGGGGTGAGCATCGCACAAGAAACGTTCATTGTTGCTGTAGCGCTGGACAAGGGCAAAAACCGTTAAGCTTTATCCAACGATAGAGGTCTCAGGAGTGTTACGTCATGTTCAGATAGTTTTCCATTTTGGTGGTGGTGGGGGAGGGGGGGGGGGTGAGTAAAAGGGGGATGAAAGAAGACTTCGTGTATGTGTGGGGTGAGGGGGGGGGGAGTAGAAAACTCGACGCGGTCAAATCAGGGCAAGGTTTATTCCCAGGGTCATATCCCTCAGATGAATTCCAATGCCTTGCAAACCCAAAAGCCACTTTGTAATTACGAAAACGGTTTGCGGTGCGCGATATCCTTTCCCGATAGGTTGCAAAACGATATATATCTCACTCTCTAATATATCCCTCCGATTGCACTCGCATACACACACACACACACATACTTCTCAAATGATATCGTCACTGATAATTCTCATCCTTTCTCGCTAAATGAGACATGAATCCTTTCTCCTTTGCTATCTTCCTCATCCTTCTTTTCTTCCTCCCCCCCCTCTTTTTTTTGTCTCTTCCCCCCATTTTTGTGTTCTTCTCCAACTTTTTTTTTTTTTCGTTCAAGTGTAACACATAGATATTAATTTTTTTTGCGTTAATAGATGTATTGGTACTATTTACTACGGTCCAACCCTGACAATGGTCCTCTAATAGAAATAATTAATAAAAAAGTAGATTTAATTTACTAAAAACGAAAAATAAATTTTAGGATTTGAAAAAGCCCGCGGCTGGATTAGTTGCTTGAGGGCGCCACTGACTTTCTCGCAAGTGGTAATATTTTAGGTTGAATAATTGTTAAAATAATGCGAATGTGGATAATAGAAAAATTATTATCTATAATATTAATAATAATAATAGTAATAATACTAATAATGATAGTAATAATAATAATAATAATAAAAATAGTAATAATAATAGTACTAATAGTAATATAAATACTTATAATAATAGTAATAATAATAGTAATAATAATAATAATAAAAGCAGGGGTCCAACCTTGACTATGTCCCCTAATAATAATGATAATAATTAACGAAGTTAAATTAATTTTTTTTAAAAACGAAAGAATAAAATTTCGCAAAAGAATTCAATTATTTAAAAAAAAAAATTAATAAAATTCATCCAAAATTCAATTATTTTCATAAATAAAAAAATTTCCACAGGAATTCAATTAATTTAGAATAGCATTTTCAAAGAATTTCGAAAAAAAAAATTATTTAACAAAATTTCTATACAATTTTACACAATAATTCAATTATTTTGACTAAAAATACCATTTTTCATGGAAATTGAATTAAAAAAATTTTTTTTTTTTATAAAATCCTAAGCAAGAATTCAATGATTTTCATAAATAATAAAACTCATCGAAGAATTTCAATTATTTAAAATAATACTATTTTGAATTAATCCCGAAAAAATCAATTATTTTCGGAAATAAAATTTTCCACGCAAGAATTCAATTATTTAAAAAAAAATTTCATAATAATATTTTATTATATTTGGAAAAAATTAATTAATTAAAATAATTTTTATAAATTTCGTATGAGAAGAATATTTCATTATTCTCTAAAATAATAAAATTTTCCACAATTTTTTCTAAATATTTTAATAAAATTTTTCGCATTAAAGCAATTGCTTTTATAAATAATAAAATTCTTCTGAGGAATTCCAATTATTTTTGAAAATTTTTTATCAAATTCTTTGCAATTATTATTTTTATGAATAATAAAATTTATCGCAGCATTTCAATTATTTTTAAATAAAATTTTAAAGAATTTGCTCAAAAAATGTAATTATTCTTAAAAATTTAATTACAATTCCTCGATAAAATCAATGATTTTAAAAAAGGTTTTTTTTTTAAATTCTTTGGATGAATTAAAATATTTTTTATGGAATTTTTATAAAATTCCTAGCAACTATTCAATTATTTTTATAAATAATAAAATTCATCGCAAAATTTCAATTCTTTTTAATACAATTTTACTGGAATTGCTCAAAAAATGTAATTATTTTTAAAAATTAAATTTCAATTCCTCGAAAAATCAATTATTTAAAAAATGGTTTTTTTAAAAAATTTTTTGGATGAATTCAATTATTTACAAAAAATATTAGAATTTTCCACAGGAATTCAATTATTTTTACTTTTTCAATTATAATAATTCAATTATTTTAAATACAATTTTAATTAAAATTTTTTGAAATAATTCAATTATTATTTTAGATTTTAATAAAATAATTCTTCGAAAGAATTCAATTATTAAAGATAAATAACAAAATTATTCGCGAAAATTCAATTATTTTCACGGATTTTAATAAAATTCTTTGTAAAATTCAATTATTTTCGTAAATAACAATATTCATTACAAAAATTCAATTATTTTTAAAAGTAATAAATTTCTTCTTGAAAATTCAATTATTTTAAAAAATTCTAATAAAATTTTTTTTTTAATTTGAACAATAGAAGGTTATTTATTTTTAAAACTTTCCGCAATTCAATGATTTTTAATATCTACTATTTTCATAAAATTTCCAAACAGAATTCAATTATTTAAAAAATTTTTTGTAAAAAACTTCTTAAGAATTCAGTTATTTTCATGAATAATAAAAACTTCTCAGGAATAGAATTATTTAAATTAGAATTTGCATAAAATTAGTCAAAAGAAATAATAATAATAGAAAAATAATATTATTTTTATATTTTTATTATTTTTAATAGAATAATAATACAAAATAATAGTATTTTTATATTAATAATAATAATATATTTATTCTGCTCTATAAAATATTACATTTTGTAGCAGAAGAATTCCGTTTACAATATATTTTATAATATCAGCCTTTTTTTTTTTTTTTTTTATTTTTTTTATACTACTTATTTTTATATTTTTATTATTTTTAATAGAATAATAATACAAAATTAAAAAGTTATAAATTTATTTACTAAAATTGGAAATAAAAATTTTAAGATTTGAAAAAGCCCGCCTTAGAATTAGTTGCCAGAGGGCGCCACTGACTTTCTCGCAAGTGGTAATATTTTCCGTCAAATGATGGTAATGTGAAATGAAAATTAGTAATAGTTGCAGTAAAAGTAATAATAATAATAATAATTACGCCTAAAAAAAAAAGAGATAATATTTGTGTATATTAATTAACAGTAGAAATGAAAAAAAAAATATTTTCATTTGTTTTTCAGTTGTATGCATGGATTGTTTATACGATAGACTAAACAAGGAACGAATGGCGAGTCTCACTTACGATAGAGCAACTATATATATCAAATGTATCGAAGATGCAGAACCCACAAAAACGTCTAACAATGAGGTGAGTCATAAAATTTATTTATTTCTTTCTTTCTTTATTAAATTTCATTTTTCAATTTTAGTAATTTTTCTATTCAATTTATTATTGTAAATTTTATTAATAATAATATTCATTTATTTAATTATGTATCATCTTGTTTTTAAACGCTGATAAAAAATTTATTTGATTCAAATAAATATTAATTTAGTACTTAGTAAATATTTTCTTGAAATAAATAAATATTTGATAGAAATAAAAAAACATTTGATTGAAATAAATATTTGATACAAATAAATTCTTTCTTGGTACGAATAAATATTTATTCAATAATACCAATTTGTTTATTTTAAACAAATAATTTTTTTTATTGTCATTTTCATTGTTTAATTAATTTAAATTATTAATTTAATTATTATTAATTATTAATTTTGAATTATTAATTTTAATTATTAATTTCAATTAATACATTTTTTTCATTTTATTCATTTCTGTAATAATTTTTTGAATTTAATTTATTTTTCCATTGAATAATTTTTTTTTCTCGTATATTTTAAATAAATTTTAAGAAACCAAGAGGGGAGGGAGGAGAAGAGGCAAATTTTTTAACAGCTTCTTTAAAATTCTCCTTTTTAAAAAAGTGATTTTTTCTTTCGTTTTTTATTTCTTTTCTTTATTTTACTTTATTTTTATTTATTTTTTTTTTGGTAAAAAGTAAATAAATGGAAGAGTCGTTTCGGAAATTGCAGTATGCTCTTTTATGTAATTCCATAGTGGAAGTTTTATGATTCGGTTTTACGATTTAGAAGCTAATAATTTTGAAATTGGCAATACCAGCCTCTTTAGTGTTGGTAATAATTGAAATTTTGATTCGTGAAAAGACAAGGCGTTACATATATTTTTTCCGGTTTCTCTTTTTTTCTTTGTTTCTTTAAAAAAAAAAAAAAATGAAAATAAATATTCCCAACCTTCTATTTTTATTGGCGAAAAAGGGGAGACAAAATAGAAAAAAAAACAAAGAATATAACAAAATGGAAAAAAATAGTAAAAAGACGAAGAAAAAAAAAGAATAAAATAAAGAAACAATAATGAAAAAAGGAAACAAGCAAAATCTCAGAGTGCAAAAAAAAATGAGCGTTAAATCCTTTTAGAGTCACTTAAATTATATGTCTCGCTTGTTTCATTGTCATTCAAATTAATAATTGTCATTTATTTCTTCAAAAACCCTAAACGAGATTCTTGTTTCTTGCAATTTTTTTCTTTATTATTTTTTGACATTTATTTTTTATTAAATTTTTTATATATATTTATTACGCTTCTATTTTATTACTATCGATCTTTTTATTTTTTATTTTTTTAATACTTTTATTATTGTTAATACCTTTATTACTTTTACTGATTTTGTATTTTTAGTATCTTCTTTATTTTTAGTAACTTTTTTTATTTTTAGTAACTTCCTTATTTTTAGTAATTTCATCATTTTTAGTAATTTCTTTATTTTTACTAATTTCTATATTTTTAGTTATTCTTCTTCTTCTTCTTCAATATTTTTAGTTATTACTTTTTTTTTACTAATTTTTCTATTTTTAGTGATATCTTTATTTTTAGTAATTTTTTTATTTTGAACTAATTTCTCTATGTCTGGTAATCTTTTCTTACGACTTTCTTTATTTTCAGTAACTTCTAATATTTTCAGTAATTTTTTTACATTCAGTAATTTTTTTTTGTAATTTCTTTAGTAATTTCATTATTTTTAGTCCTTTTTTTATTTTCAGTAAAATTTTTATATGTTTAGTAACTTTTTACTTTTAGTAATTTTTTATTTTTAGTAACTTTTTTTTATTTTAAATTGTTTTCTTATTTCTAGTAACTTCTTTATTTTTAGTCGTTTCATATCTTTTAGTAATTTTTTTTATATTTAGTAACTTCCTTATTTTTAGTAATTTTATTATTTTTAGTAATTTCTTTATTTTTAGTAATTTAATTTTCAGTTACTTTTTAATTTTTAGAAATTTTTACTTTAAGTCTTTCTTTATTTTTAGTCGTTTACTTCATTTTTAGTAATTTTTTATTTTTAGTGCTTTCTTTATTTTTGTAACTTCTTTAATTTTAGTCATTTTTTTTAGTAATTTCTTCATTTTTAGTAAATTCTTTATTTTTAATAATTTTTTTGCATTCAGTAATTTTTTTTTTTTAGTAATTTCATCAGTAATTTCTATATTTTTAGTCGTTTTTTTATATTGCTAATTTTCTTATTTTTAGTAATTCTTTTATTTTTATTTCTTCTTTATTTTTAATAAATAATTTTTACTAATTTCTTTATTTTTATTAACTTATATATTTTTAGTAATTACTTCTTTACTAATTTTTTTATTTTTATTCAATTTTTCACATATTTCCATATTTTTAGTATTTTTTTTTTTTACTAATTTCTTCATTCTTTGCAATTTATTTAGACATTTAATTATTTATTTACTCTTTGTCAACTTGTTTTTTGTTACCAATTTCTTTTTTTTTAATAATTCCTTTATTTTTACAAATTTTTTGCCTTTTAGTAATTTATTTACTGTTAGTAGTTAATTACTAAATGTTAGTAGTTTACTGATTGTTAATAATTAATTACTAACTGTTAGTACTTCATTGCCTGTTAGTAATTTTTTTTTATTTTTTTTTACAATTTACTGTTCAGTAATATAATTAATATTTAATTTATAAATTTTTTTCTTATCTGTTGCAGTGCCCGACGAGAAAACGACCGACGAGGACGAGAAGAAATATTCAGGGCTCACACGAATTTAAAGTGTCCTCTGAACTCACCTTAAAGGAACTTAAAGTTATGGTGAGTCTTCGATTTTTAATTTTTTCCCTCTTTTTTCTATAATTAATTTTTTTTTCCTTCTTTAGAATATTTTTTTAATTTTCTCCTCAATTTAAATTATTTCGTTAAATTTTTCCTTTCTCTCTATTTCTCAAATGAAAACGACTACAAAAATTCCCCCCCCCCTCTTTTTTTATTTTTAGTAATTTTTAATCGCTTCTTTATTTTTAGTAATTTTTTACTTTTAGTCGTTTCTTTATTTTTAGTAATTTTTTTATTTTCAGTAATTTTTTTATTTTTAGTAATTTCTTTATTTTTAGTCGTTTTTTTAACTTTAGTAACTTCTTTACTTTTAGTAATTTTTTTTTATTGTTAGTAATTTTTTACTTTTAGTAACTTTTTTATTTTTAATGATTTTTTACTTTTAATCCTTTCTTTATTTTTAAGTAATTTTCTTATTTTTTGTAGCTTCTTTATTTTTAGTAATTTTTTTACATTCATTATTTTTTTTTTTTTAGTAATTTCTTTATTTTTCTGAATTAACTCTGAAATTTGACAATAGAAATATTTTTCAATTTTTCTTTTTGTAAATTTATTTATTAATAGAAATAAATGCGAATTAAATAAATTCTTTTTTTTTTGGCTAATTAGATAAAAAATATTCAATGCGAATTAAATTTTGCAAATTTAATTAAAAAAATTAAAATCGAAATTTAAGAGAAATTATTTCAAATTCTCAATTATAAGCGGATTATCTCAATATTTTAAAAATTACAGTGTTACGAACAAGAATTTTCAATATTGCTCAGTTTTTTTAAAAATCATTTTCTTCGTTTTTATCGTTTTTTGCCTCTTTTGGCTCGAGTTGAGAGTGTGAAATCCTTTCTTCAAAGTGGAATTCTGAGTACACTTGGGGCATTGTTTTCTCTCGAAGAATAAAGCAATCTACTTGAGGCCTGCAAAATTAAGTTGAAAACGAGAGAGAAGGATAGGAGAGAGGGAAAAAGAGAGAGAAAAGATAGAGAAAAGGCAGAAGGAGCGAGAAAGAGAGAGAAAAAGGCAGAAGGAGAGAGAAAGAGAGAGAGAGAGCACAAGAGTCCGTCTCTAAAGTCGAGAAACTGAACCAAGTTGTAAACGTAAAGGATAGTTATGGCTGGTTAGCATATGCGAGGAGAGCCCGGGAGTGTGCTTAAACTATTAAGCGTATTTATATTGCGAGGCCGGGACCATCTCGCGGGGCCACTAGCAAAAAAATCCGAAAGAGCATAAACCTCGCACTAATAACAGGCCTACACTCCACTTCAGTGCAACTCGACTACTCTTCTGCATCACCACTTTTAGGTTTTCTTTTTTCTCTCTCTCTCACCATCTCTCTCTCTACTTCTGTTGCTCATCGACTTTAAAATTATTATTCTCCATCCTTTAGGGTTTCGACCTCGCGAGATTTTTCATCTCTCAACTACACTACACACAACCGCTGTGTAGACCCTTTTTAATATCCGCTCGCGAGAAAGGCTTCACCGTCAATGGGAAAGATGCTGCGCCTCTGTGTCTTCCTTCTCCTCCTTTCTGTTTATCTCTCCTCTGTTCTTCGTCCACTTCTTCGTCCTCTCTCTATTAGTGCACTACATCTTCTAACTCTTCTTCTTGTTTTATTATGTATCGATTCTGGAAAATCATTCAGGATATCTGTTCGGAAAACCATTCCAAAAATCTATTCGGAATATCCATTGAGAAATTGTTTAGGAAATGTATTCAGACTATCATTCAGAATATCTATTGAGAAATTGTTTAGGAAATGTATTTGGAATATTTATTTGATACATCTATTTAGATAGGAGAAGATGATAAACAATGAGCTGTAGATGCAGTTGAATTTTTAGTAGATAATGGTGATTACTACATAGGATCTAATTCTGATCATAAAGAATAACCTGTAGATGGTATGCAATATTTAGGAAATGATGATGATTAATACCTAAACACCAATTTGGTAGATGATAAACAATAAGTAGTAGATGTTGGTAAACATTTAGTAGATGATGCTGTAAAACATTTAGATGATGATGCTTCAAAACATTTAGTAGATGATGCTTCAAAATATTTAGTAGATGGTGCCTCAAAATATTTAGTAGATGATGTTGTAAAACAGTTAGTGGATGATGCTGTAAAACTTATAGAAGACAATGCTGTAAAACATTTATTAGATGATGATTCAAAACATTTAGTAGATGATGCTATAAAACATTTAGTGGATGATGCTGTAAAAAATTTAGTAGATGATGCTGTAAAACATTTAGTTGATGATATGCTGTACGATTTTTAGTAGATGATGCTGTAAAACATTTAGTTGATGATATGCTGTACGATTTTTAGTAGATGATGCTGTAAAACTTATAGAAGACAATGTTGTAAAACATTTAGTGGATGGTGCTGTAAAACATTTAGTAGATGATGCTGTAAACCATTTAGTAGATGATGCTGTACAACTTTTAATAGATGATGCTGTAAAATATTTAGAAGATAATGCTGTACAACTTACAGTAAATGATGCTATACAACGTTCAGTAGATGATGCTGTAAAACATTTACTAGATCGTGCTCTACGACTTTTTGTAGGTTCTGCTATAAATATTAAGAGTATGATAGTATTAAATAATAAATGTTTGACATCATCCACTACTTATTGTTTATCATCTACTAAATAATGTCTTGGATAGAACTCAACATCATTTACTAAATGTTTTGAAGCAGCATCTACTAAATGTTGTGTAGCTTTATCATGTGAATGTTTTACAGCATCAACTACTAAATATGTTACAGCATCATCTACAAAATGTTTTAGAGCATTATTTACAAAACATTTTGTAGCATCGGCTGCTAATTGTTTATCATCTACCAAATAATGTCCTGGATAGGAATTAGCATCATCTTTTAAATATTTTGTATATCATATTGTTGCCTATTGTCTGTCATCTACTGAATTGAGTCTTAAATAAAATGCAGCATCTTCTACTAAATCTTCTACATCATCTACTGATTAATGTTTATCATATGATAAATTAGGTCTTGCAGAAAATAAAGCATTATCTACTAACAATTTTATTAAATCATCTACTAAAAATTGTACAGCATTATCTTTTAAATGTTTTACAGGATCATCTACTAAAAATCGTGCAGCATTATCCACTAAATATTTTACAGTATTATCTTCTAAAACTTTTACAGCATCATCTACTAAAAATCGTGCAGCATCATCCACTAAATGTTCGATAACATCATCTACTAAAAATTGTACAGTATTATCTTCTAAATGTTTTACAGCATCATTTACTAGTTGATGCTGTAAAGCATTTAGAAGGTAATGCAGTAAAATTTTTAGTAGTTGGTGCTGTTTGATATTTAATAGATTATGCTGTTGGAAATTTAGAACATAATGATATACAACTTTAAGTACATGATGATGTAAAATATTTAGAAGATAATGCTGTAAAACATTTATTAGATGATGCTATAAAACATTTAGTAGATCATGCTGTGCAGCTTTTAGTAGATGATGCTTTAAAACAACTAGTGGATCATGTTGTGCAAGTTTTAGCAGATGATGCTGTAAGACATATTTAGTAACTGATTCTAAAAAAAATTTAGTAGATGATACTGTAAAACATTTAGAAGATAATACTGTACAACTTTTAGTAGATGATGCTGTAAAACATTTACTAGTTGGTGCTGTAAAATATTTAAGATGATGCTAATAATTATCTAGAATGTAATTGCTAGAATGTAAATACTGAATGTAAATATAGAATGTAAATGCTGCAAAATAAATAGAAGTTAATGCTATAAAATATTTAGTCTAGATAGAACGGTAAAACATTTACTAGATGTTGCTGTATTTTATGTAGAACCCAAATCAGTAGATGATAAATCATTATTAGCACAGGAGGTTGCAGAACATTTAGAAGATATTGCTGTTTTTCATTCAGGACCTAATACAGTAAATGATAAGCAATAATCAGCAGTAGGAAATCAGTATTTAGAGGATGATAATAATTACTAACTACGACTCATTTTACAGGATGGTAAACATTTAGCAGTTGAAGCTGTTAAACAATTTTTATATATTGCCGTAAAGCATTTACTAGATGATGCTGGTAATTATCTAGGGCCTAATTCAGAAGATGATGAAAAAGTAGATGCTATAGAATATTTAGTAGATGATGCTGTACAACATTTAGTAGATAATGGTGTACAACATTTAATAGATTATGATGTATGTTATTTAGTAGATGTTACTGTAAAATATTTAGAAGATAATGTTATGGAACTTTTAGTAGATTTTGCTGTAAGACATTTAGTAAATGATGTTGTAAAGCGTTTAGAACATAATATAGTACGACTTTTAGTAAATGATGCTGTAAAACATTTACTAAATGATGTAATTTATTGAGGACCAAATTCAGTAGATGACAAACATTATTCAGTAGATTTTAAAATTACATTTAGTAGATAATGCTAATAATCACCTGTAGCATTAATTAAAAACACATTTTACATGGAGGAAAAAAAGGAAGAAATAATTTTGGAAAATATTCCCAAAAAATTATTATTTGCCAATTATTACAAAACTCTCCTTATGGTGTATCTATTTTTTTCTCCCGTTTCTCTCTCGTAAAAAGCAGAGATCCGTAACAAGTGCTTTTAAAAAGAAGGGAGAAAAAAAATGACAAACGACTTCCGACCGGTCAGAAAGAAAGCGTCAGCTAGCTAGAGAGGAACAATAATTTAATGATGGGTTTCGCACGAGTAAAAGATCACATACAGATCAAGAAACGAAGGAGTTTTTAAATAAGGACACATATTCTCTCTTCTTTCTCTCTCCTTTTTCTTTCTTTTAATTTCTTCTCTTTTTTTGTTGTTCTCTCTAATTTTTTTTCTCTTTTCGGTTTTCTGTATCCTTTTTTTGGTTTTTCCTTCTCCTTCCTTTTTCCTTTTGGTTTTTCTCCCTTTTTTTCTTCTCTTTCTTCTTTGTTTAACCCTTTTTTCCTCTCTCTTTTCTTGTTTATCTCTCATTTCCTGTCTCTCTCTTTGTTTCCTATCCCCTATAAACTGATTGCTCTTTTCTCAAAGCCATTTACATGCGGGGAAAAATAATGAAAGCACCCTTTAAAGAAGTGCATCTCAATTTACATAAAACGCTGATTACAAAGTGGCCGCGCATTAAAAAAAAGGCAGCAGTCTCGCAAACTCACGGACATATTATTGTAACAAAGTCAGGTGCTGCTGCTGCTATTGCTTCTCGCTTCTATATACCTATATATACTTTGAGGTCGGGTACCGATAATGTGGCCCTTTAAGAATGGCCCCACGATGATGCTCGCTCTGTTGAGATGCAAGGACTTGGAGAGTTTTTCGCGGATTATCGACACAACAAAAGGGGAGTAAAAAACGAAGGAGGAAAAAAATGAGGAAAGAAAAGAAAAAAAATAGAGAGAGAGAGATAGAGTATATTCTCTTTTCTCCTCAACGGCAAATGGCGATGCTTGAAGCCATGAGCTTGCGTCTGGTAATTGCTTAATTTGTGGAAGCATGTCGGTGTTGCGCTTAAGTGTGACCTAAAGCAGTGTTAGTGTAAATGCATTCAACTTTCGCATTTTACGAGCAAACAAGAAGGAACTACCTTTTCTCGAGTAGTAGCGATGGAGAAAAATTCCCTGCTTCACTTCTCTCTCTCTCGTTCATTCTTTCATGAAATCCGAAAACAATATCTGTAAATAAGAAAATTCTCCACATTTCGTTATGTTAATTCTATTCTGATACAGTATTTTCTATTGGATGTTGTACAGCATCATCTACTAAATATTCTACAACATTTTGCACCCATTGTTTGTCATCTACTGAATTCGGTCATGAATAAAATAAAGCATCATTTAGTAAATGTTTCACAGCATCATCTACTAAATGTTGTATAGCTTTATCTTCTAAATGTTTTGAAGCATCATCTACTAAACATTTTACAGCATCAAGTAGTAAATGTTTTACAGCATCATCTACTAAATATTTTACAACATCAGGTAGTAAATGTTTTTCAGCATCATCTACTTAAAATTGTACAGCATCATTTACTAAATATTTTACATCATCATCTACTGAAAGTTGTGTAGCATTATCTTCTAAATGTTTTGAAGCATCATCTTCAAAATTTGTAATAACATCGACTAGTAAATGTTTTGTAGCATCATCTACTTAAAATCATACAGCATTATCTAGTAAATGTTGTATAGCATCATCTACTAAATATTTTACAGCATCAACTAGTTTAGTTGATATTTTACAGCATCATTTAGGAAATGTTTCACAGCATCATCTACTAAATGTCGTATAGCTTTATCTTCTAAATATTTTGAAGCATCATCTACTAAAATCCGTACAGCATCATCTACTAAATGTTGTATATCATCATCTACAAAATGTTGTATAGAATTATCTTCTAAATGTTTTGAAGCATCATCTACTAAACATTTTACAGCATCAAGTAGTAAATAGTTTACAGTATCATCTACTACATATTTTACAGCATCAACTAGTAAATGATTTACATCATTTAGGAAATGTTTCACAGCATCATCTACTAAATGCTGTATAGCATTATCTTCTAAATGTTTTGAGGCATCATCTATTAAATATTTCACAACATTATCTACCAAAATTTGTTCAGCATTTTATTCTGAATGTTTTAGAACATCATTTACTAAAGGTTGTACAGCATTATCTTCTAAATTTTTTACAGCATCATCTACTAAATGTCTCACTGTCACATCCACTATAAGTTGTATAAAGCATTATCTTCTGATTCAAATAAAGTAAAACATTATCATTTATTAAATGCTCTACAGTATAAAAAAAGGAACTCGAAAAGTACTTAAACAAATTATCTGTTAAACAAAATGTCACTTAATTTTTTGCTACAAGTTTTTTTCCAATAATTATTAACATAGTTTATTTCCGTTCTTGATTTCACAAAGTAGTTTTAATTATATATTATTTTAAACACGCAGGAAGAAATAAAATTCTCGTGAACTGACTTTTGTGAGATAATTTCTTTCTTTTCAATAAAATAAATAATTGTGTAATTTAATTTATCAAAAAATTATAAAGTTTTGAATAATGAAAGTATTATAATAATATTAATATTAATAATAATAATAGTAATAATAATAGTAATTATAATAATAAAAATTATAATTACTATTATTACCATTATTACTTTTTCTATTGCAGTAAATTTTTAATTTATTTTCAGAAGGTACGAAATATTGCAAGAACTTTGCAGCAAACTTACTGTGCAAAGATCATGAGAATTTAAAGTCTCAAAAGGCTTGTTTAAACTGGACGTAACAATTTCCAAAATAATAGAATTAAATAATAAAAAGAATAGTAATAGTAAATAATAATAATAATAATTATTATTATAATGATAAAGGAAAAAAATTCCTTTCGTTTAGAAAAGTATCGATTATGTACGAAATTGTGAATGCGGTGAAGGCAAAATAATCGAGTTCACGCGGCAATATCGTGTAAATGGAGAATTATGAGCAACATTTATACAATCGTTTCTAGATATTAAGCAATATTTTCGTTGAGGACAAGTTGAGGACACAGAAAACTAATTGGCATATCGTTCGCCTTACAGTTCTTCATGCACAACACCTTGGTAACCTTTTGTTCCGATTCTTGTATTATTCGTACATGACACGATCAGTAGTGCAACGGTTACTAGTCGACCGTGAAATTTCACATATTTTTTCCTTTTTTTTGTTCTTTTTTTTACTCTGTCATTTTCCCCTTCTCGATGGTTGTTAAAACTGTTTCGTAAATTAGAATCGAATTTACAAAACTTTATGTAATAAAAAAATGGAAAAGAAGAGAAAAGAAGAGAGAAAAGGAAGGAAAAAGAAAAACAAATAAAAGAAGAAAAAAAGAAAGAAAAAGGAAAATGAAAAAAAAGAATAAGAAAGAAGGGGAAAAGGAGAAAAAGAAGAAAAGAAAGCAAAAAAAGAACAAAGGAAACAGGAGTAAAAGGAGAAAAAGAATAAAAGCAAAAAAGAAGAAAAAGGGAAAAAGGAGTAAAAAGAGGAAAATAAAAAAAGAAGAGAAAATTAAAAAGGAAATAGAGAGAAACAAGAAAGAAGGAAAAAAGAAAAAGGAGAAAAAAAAGAGAAGAAAGCAAAAAAGATAAAAGTAGGGAAAGGAAGAAAGCAAGAAGAAGAAGAAGAAGGAAAAAAGAGAAAGAAGAAGAAAAGAAAATGGAGAAAAAAAGAAGAAAGGAAGCAAAAAAAATAAAAATAAGCAAAAAGAAAAAAAGGAAAAAGAAAACGAAGAAAAAAGGGGAAAAATAGAAGAAACGGAGAAAATAAAGAATAAGTGAAAAAGGAGTAATAAGAGGAAAAGGAAAAAAGCAAAACAAGATGAAAACGAGGAAAAGGATGAAAAGAGAAGAGAAGAGAGGAGAAGAGCAAAAAAAGAAAAAAAGAGAAAAAATGGAGAAAAAAGAAGAAAAAGAAGGAAAAGAAAATATAAGAAAGGAAGAAGAAAAGAAGAAAAAGAAAATACAGTAAAAATTAAGAAAAAAGAAGAAACAGAAAATATAGAAAAAAATAAATATTAAGAAAATAGAAGAAAAGAAGAGGAAAATGAGAAAAAAAGAAAATACAGAAAAAAATAAAAATTAAGAAAATAGAAGAAAAAGAGAAAAAGTGAAGAAAGAGAAAATACAGAAAAAATAAAAAATAAAAAAAAGAAACAGAAAAAAGAAAAATTTTTTGTCTAAACGCGAATATAGTTTGAGTATAATATAAAAACTATTTTCGCGCGTAATAACTCATGCTTTACTTTTCATAATAACTGTTGGAAATATTTCCGTTTCGCTCAAGAAAAGCGCGCACATTTTCTAAGTAGTCATCGATAATGAACACCTCTACACAATATAATGATACCGTTATATTCTTTAAGGCCAACACAATATAATCAGGAAAAATCAAAAGCATCGTTCGATTTTAATAGTCGGTACTAAATATTTATTATATGGCTCTGTGCACCATTCCGTTCTTCAGAGAAGAAAAAAACAAAACAAAAAAAACGAAAAGAGAGAAAAAATTCTCTATTCATAAATACGAAGGTCAATTTTTCCATTTCTGGTTATTTTTTTCTTGTTTGAAAAACAAAATTCAATTTTCATTCATGTTTATTTTGCAAAAATTTCTACCCCTTGCTTTTCGACCGAGAGGAATTTTGACTTAAATTATTTTTTTTCTGACCTAAACTTAAAAATTTTTTATTTTATCTGAATTATTTTTTTTTCTTTACCTTTTTTTTTAAAACTACAAAAATATAAAAATTTGACGAAAACATATTAGAAATGCAAAAAAAAGTAAAGTGGATTTTTTTAATTGTTTCAGGTAATGCCAATTTTCGGGGCTGGACCTTTTGACCAACATTTAATGTTAGATGGCAATGAATTGCAGAATGATTCGGAAACATTGAGTTCATTGGGCATCTTTCCTGAAACTCTTCTCACCTTAAAGGTAAGTGATAAAAATATATAAACAATTAAACTCTTTATTTTTCGATTCTATAAATCGTTCCGAAGGTTAAATATTTTTTTTACCTATTTCTTTAATTGACCAAAAAATTGACCTATTTATAATATTTTTTGACTATTTTTGACTTTTTCGACGTTTTGACTATCTAATTGACAGCTAAATAATTATTATATTTATCTATTAATTATTTTCGACGTTTTGACTTTTTAATTGCCAAATGAATATTTGTTTTCATGTTTTGACATTTTTATTTGACAATCGATTAATTATTTTCGACTTTTCGACGTTTTGACTTTTTAATTGACAATTGAATAATTATTTTCGACAATTTGACTTCTTAATTGCCAACTAAATAATCATTTTCAACAATTTTCGACGTTCTGACTTTTCATTTGACAATCGATTAATTATTTTCGACTTTTCGACGTTTTGACTTTTTAATTGACACTTGGATAATTATTTTCGACAATTTGACTTCTTAATTGCCAACTAAATAATTATTTCCGACAATTTTCGACGTTCTGACTTTTCATTTGACAATCGATTAATTATTTTCGACTTTTTCGTCATTTTATTCAATAATCGATTAATTATTTTTGACGTTTTGATATTTTTATTTGACAATTGATTAATTATTTTCGACTTTTTACACGTTCTAACTTTTTGATTGACCATTGAATAATTATTTTCGACGTTCTGACTTTTTATTTGACAATCGATTAATTATTTTTGATTTTTTCGATCTTTTAATATTTTTATTTGATAGTCGATTAATTATTTTCGACTTTTTTGACGTTTTGTGCTTTTATTCTACAATCGATTAATTAATTTCGACGCTCTAACTGAATTTGATAATAAATGAACTATTTTCGACTTTTTCGATGTTTTGATATTTTTTTTGAGAATCGGTTAATTTTTTTTTGGACTTTTCGACGTTTTGATATCTTTAATTGATTATTGAATAAATATTTTCGATTTTTCGACGTTTTGACTTTTTAAATGAAAATTGAATAATTATTTGCAACGTTCTGACTTTTTTAAATTGAAAACTGAATAATTATTTTCGACTTTTTCGACATTTTGACTTTTTATTTGACAATCGATTAATTAATTTTGATTTTTTTGATGTTTTGATATTTTTATTTGACAATCGATTAATTATTTTTTATTCTTTGAAGTTTTGACTTTTTAATTGACACTTTAATAATTATGTTGGACTTTTCCGACCTTTTGACTTTATAATTAGCAATATAATAATTATTTTTGACTTTTGCGATATTTTGATTTTGTTTACAATTGAATAGTAAAAATTATTTTCGACTTTTTCGATGTTTTGACTTTTTAATTGACAATAGAATATTTATTTCCGACTTTTCCGACATTTCGACTTTTTTATTGACAATTGAATAATAATAATTATTAGAGAATTTCTTTGATACCTATATTTTTCGGTATTTACTGTTAAAAAAAATAATATAGAGGAATTAACTTTTAGCAAAAAAAAAAAAAAAAAAAAAAAAAAACGAAGAATGTCAGCACCTTCAACTCTCGAGTAATTACGCGGCCCGGCGCAAATGTTTCGTTACGTAAAACCGCGACTTCGACTTCGACGACAACGACAAAACGGTATCTCTTCCCGTCGTTGAGTTGAGTAATTGTCGGTGTTGAATGCAAAAACAAAAAAATCGGATCTGCTAATCGATTCGCAAAAAAAAAAAAAAAAAAAAAAAAAAAAACTTGGTGCTCCAAGCAAGTCAAGGTCAGTGAGTGACGTTCCATATCAACACAAAACATTTGATTCCTAAAGGAACACGTATAGATCGTGTTTATATCACACGACCTCATGGAATCCCTTCCAGTCGCATTCCAAATCGAAAGAAATCATAGAGACATTTAGTGATCTATATTGTCAATGGCACTCTTAACAACTATTCAGATAATTCAAACTTATCGCCTTTTTACCTGAGAAAACGACTTCAACATTTTCACTCAAAGCCGTGCGCCTAAGAATGTGGTTTTTCTTTTTTTCCTTAAAAAAAAACAATTTATTTATTTTCTTTCCTTTTTCTTCACATAAAATTAATATTCCACCAAACTTGGTAATGGAATTATTTTCAATTTTTTCTAATTCTTAATATTCACGTTTACTAAAAAATAATTTCAAAATTGACCGTTACTGCTTATTGACCTACAAGGTTAGGTCAAATTCTAATTGTATACATTTTATTACACTTTTAATTTTTATTCCATTTTCACTCAAAAATTATTCTTCAAATTTTACTAATTTTCAAAATAATCTTATTTTTTTTGGTCAAAAATTTTATTTTTAGGTCAATTTTACAAAAAAAGTTGGAACCATCTTCTAGTGAAATTTTAAAGTTTAGGTCAAGTTTATAATAAATATTAATCACTTTTATCAACTTATAGGTTAACATTACAGTAATAAATATTGATATCTTTTTTTAAGTTTTAGGTCAATTTTTCAAAAAAAAAATTGGAAGTCTTCTGGTCAATTAAAATGTTTAGATCAAGTTTATAATAATAAATATTAATCTCTTCTATCAAGTTTTAGGTCAATTTTGAAATATTAATTCATTCTGCGTTTAGGTCAAAATTCACGTTTAGGATAACTTTCTAAAAATTAAATATTCATCGTTGCTGTCAAGTTACAGGTCAAATTTAAATAGTAAATACTTTGCTTTTTACTGTCAATTAGGTCAAAATTAGGTCAAATCTACAATAAAAACAAATTTTAGTAGTTTTTATAAAATAAAGGTTAACCTTAAAATAATTTCTCTTGTGTTTAAGTCAAATTTAGGTTTAAGGTCAAGTTTATAAAATATTGATCACATCTATCAAATTTTAGGTCAATTTTGAAATAATATTTTCTCCTGCTTCTATATTTATTTTATATTTCAAATTAGGATTTAAATTTTTGATCCACGTCAATTGTTAGTTATTTCTATTTTTAGGTCCAATTCAAGTTTAGGTCAAGTTTATAAACTTATACAAAATTAGGTCATATGTAAAAATAACTCTAGTCAATTTTTAACTTTTTTGTTGTTAATTGTTAAAATTAAAATTGTAAAAAGTTAAAATTGCTACCAATTTAGATAAAAAAAAAGAGGTCAATAAATTGACCTTGAAATTTAGGTCAAAATTCACTCGTGAGAAATCGAAAATGTAATCTTTAAATTTGAATTAAAAAGTCCAAAATCGAATTATCATACATTATTAGTTATTTCTATATTTTTAGGTCAAATTCAAGTTTCAAAGTTAGGTCAAGTTTTTATAAATTTAGGTCAAATTAAGAAGAAAGGCTGTAGTTAATTTATAGTTTTCTTTTGTAAATTTCAAATTACTTTCTAGTCGTAATAGTTTTAATTAATTAATATTAATACCAACTTTAGGTCAACTTTTTTTAAAAATTTCAGAACAAGAATTAAATAAATTTTTATCGTTTCCAATAAAATTTAAATTATTGTTTTTATTTTTTTTTGTTGCAAATAAAATTTTTATTAAATTGTTATTATTGTTGACCAACTTTAGGTCAACTTCTTTTATAAAAATTCAGATCAAGAATTAAATGAGTTTTTATCGTCTCCAATAGAATTTAAAATATGGTTTTAATTTTTTTTTTGCTTTTTGTTGCAAATAGAATTTTTATTGACCAACTGTAGGTCAACTTCTTTTAAAAATTTCAGAACAAGAATTAAATAAATTTTTATCGTTTCCAATAGAATTTAAATTATTGTATTTACTTTTTTTTGTTTTGCTGTTGCAAATAGAATTTTTATTGAATTGTTATTATTGTTGATCAACTTCAGGTCAACTTTTTTTTCAAAATTCAGATCAAGAATTAAATATAAATTTTTATCGTTTCCAATAGAATTTAAAATATTGTTTTAAATTTTTTTGTTTTTTGTTGCAAATAGAATTTTTATTGAATTATTGTTTTTGTTGCTGTTGTTGTTGTTTTTCTTTTCGAAAATCCAGTACAAAAGGGTTTCATTGCGTTGGTTGTTGTTAATATATACACAAATTCTGCAAGAGACGTCTGACAAACAGTGGCAATTTAGATTTTAGATTTGCTTTTCTCGCACCTAAGAAACTTAAGAACAATGGATATAAGTAACGTCGAGAAATTGACCGAGATAACGTAAAAGGAAAAGGGATAAGACACAAATTTCGTCGTCGACCAAAGCTTAATGTCTTGAGATTACGAGTGACTTAATTTTCTTCGCGCTCGCAAATTACGACAGTAAATTCACTAAAGCTTTGCCTATAATTTAATGGTGAACAATATTTATCTAGATATTTATTTTTCAACAAACAACAATTTTTTATTAAAAAAAAAAAAAAAAATTAAAAAAAATTTTTTTAAATTTAAATTTAAAAAATTTAAAAAATTTTAGTAAAAAGAAAGTAAAAAAGCAACAGAAAACAATTTTTGTCTTCTGATAATTTGTTATTGATCTATTAATTATTTATTATTAACCTGTCAACTGTCTAATATTGACCTACTAATGTTTCCTTCTTGACCCAGTAGGATGATAATAACCTACCAATAGGTCAATGTTAAAACTACTAGTAGGTCAATAACTGACTATTAGTAGGTCAAAAACAAGCTATTGGTAGGTCAATAACAGACTGTTAGAAGGTCAATAATAGACTATTAGTAGGTCAATAATAGACTATTAGTAGGTCAATAACAGACTGTTAGAAGGTAAATAATAGACTATTAGTAGGTAAATAATAGACTATTAGTAGGTCAATATTAGACAGTTGATAGGTCAATAATAAATCATTAATAGATCAAGAATAGAGTATTAGTAGGTCAATAATAGACTATTAGTAGGTCAATATTAGACAGTCGATAGGTCAATAATAATTAATTATTAGGTCAATAAAAGACCATAATAGACCAATCGTTTGACAATTTTAGAACAATAGGTCAATTGTAGACCACTAGTAGGTCAAGA